GAGCTCTTAACCAACTGAGCCACTCGGGCGGCCCTAAATGGTAGGCTTTTCAGGCACTCAAGAATTCATCAATCAATAGCTGGGCCAGCTGGCCGAAGTCTAGGACGCTTCTGACAACTGGGGCTGGCCAGAAATTGTAGGAAAGAATGGTTTTTCTCTGACAGTCTGGCCAAGTTGTTCTTTGTTCTTAACTACTAGTTCTGCAAATGTAGAGTATGGACTTCCTCCTAGCCACTAGCAAACTGCTACCAAAAAAACCCCCCAAAAATAACCTCAGGTTAACCCAACCCAGTGATCTGTCAGCCATTCATTCAGTACATTTTTATTGAGTATCTACTATGCACAAAAGCTCTGTGTGGCCGTGGAAGTTTATGATGAGAACTCAGATGTGGGTCCTGCCCTCCTGGAGAGAGGCAGAAGTGTAAGTAATTATGATGAAAGATAAAACGTGACCAGTGGCTGGAGCAGTAAAACAGGTTCACATGAAACTCTGAACACAGACTTCCAAGCTCATTCTGCAGGGTGGCCAGTGCGGTGCCCTGAGTTTTCAAGGCTGAAATTGTTGCAGAGTGTGTCCCCATCTTTCAGGGCTGACTGTTCGCTCAGCAGCCATTTCCAAGTTTGTAGGGTGCTCCTCGCAGCTCTGTGACACTTGATCCCCATGCCGTACTCCCATGTGAGTCAAGACTTCTGGTTATCTTTTTACTCAAACTGAGCTGGTTCTCACCCCTCCCTGCCTCCCCTCTGGCTCAGCTGGAGAGGCGCTGGCGGGGCTCACCAATTGCGCTGAAACCCTCTTTGTCTTCTCGGGGCCTTTTAGTTGGTGTCCTGCCTGGGCTGAGGGTGCCTTTCTCTCCCCTTCTCGTTTCCACTGCCCTGGGAAGGTTCCGGACTCCCTGATGAAGGCTCTCGGAGCTCCACCAGGCTCCAGAATTGCCCTTTTGTGTCCTCCTTCCTTGCCCTTCCGTTAGCCAGCGGGAAGCCTGGGGCCACGAGGCTGACCCGTGTGTGAGAATGGGCCCACAACTCCTCCGCCTGTGTTTCTAGAAAAAAGGAAGAATAGTGGGTGGGGAGGTGAGGAGGTACACGTTGTTCCCTGCCTCTGGCTAGGAAGGGGAGCTGAAAATAAAGGAGCTGGAGCAATCTTCGCTCTGGAGAGGAGCAGACCAGTGGCCCCGGCTGGGGCCCAGCTGCACCCCAACCGTGGCAGCTCAGTTCTAGAAGGGGCTCCTGCGGGGAGGAGGCAGGTGCTCTGAGCAGGTGAGCTGCAGCAGCTCGGGTGCCCAGAGATGCCCAGGTGTGTGGCTCTTCCTCTCATGTGGGCCTTCCATGTCCTCGACACAGGACCAAGCTCTGAAACGCATTTTTGTTACGAGCAGTTTTGTCTGTTTTTACAAATTCAGTTGCAACCTGGAAGTGGACCCTCCCCTTTCCTCTCACTGAAGGGCCTTCCCAGAGGTGGAGAAGCCAGAGCTGGTGCCCACTCACCTCTTCCTTCTGCCCCAGGTTTGGGTGGAGTCCCGCCTGTGAGCCCCTCCTAGGGGGCAGGGTCTAGGGGGCTTGCATCCTGGAAGGGGAGGGCTGATAAACAAGGGAGAAGGATGTCTAGGAAGGAGGATGATAAGAGCTGAGAAAAACAGACAAAAATAAAGGGCTGGCTGGGGGGAGGGGAGCGCATGGGAAATACCTTTGCAGTTCAGTAGGGCTGTCAGGATGGGCCTTATCCAGGAGGCAACATTGGAGCAAAGACTGGAAGAGGGTGAGGGAGTGAGCCATGTAGATGGATGGGGAAGAGTGTTCTGGATGGAGGGAACAGCCTGTGCAAAGGCCCTTGTCACGTCCTGCGTGGCAAGGGCAAATGGGACACGAGAGGGGCGACGCAGCTTGAATAAAGAGACAGAGACAGAAGTAAGNCCCCACCCCCACCCCCACCCCCGTGCAGCTCAGGGTGGTCCCCTGGTCTGAGAACGGCTGGGCTTATCTGAAGTTGCCAAAAAAAACAGCTTTCGCCTCACTCTGTAGGTGGAGAACCTGGGGCACCTTCAGCTTCCTGTGCTTTGCATCCTCTGCCCAGTGGTGTCCTGCAGCCAGCTGGTGAGACCCGATTGTTAAATTTCAGGGCATTTTGTGAACTGATTGTTAAATACAACCATTATTAAAAATTAGATTATATAAACTTACAATTAAGTAAATTATATTAAAAACACAAGCCATAAAAATACTCAAAATTTATTACGTCCTAATTATTGGGTTGTCAGAAAAGTCATGATGTATTTTTTCTATGTTTTTCGTTGCAAAAATGCATCATGACTTTTCCGACAACCCAATAGTTTACTGCATTTCCTTCCACTCTGTGCATGTGAGATTGTTTGCATTTGTTGTCTCTGTGGTGGAAATCCCATCTGATGGTGTGCGGCTGCAGACCTGTTCCCAACTACATGTGCCAGTGGCTTGAATTTGGCCATGGTGGGAATATTTACACCATGGAAATTGGCAAACAGTACAAATCAGGGCTTGATGTATTGTTTTGTTGCTTCTGTAGAGCAGAGGTCAGCAGACTTTCCCTGTAAAGGGCCAGATAGTATTTTCGGCTTCCCAGGCCATGTGATCCCAGGGGCAACTGCTCGCCTCTGCCATTGCAGCTTGAAAGCAGCCACAGATAATATGTAAACAAATGAATGTGGTCGTGTTACAATAGAACTTTATTTGAAAAAACAGACCTTGGGCCCAGATTGACCTGAGGGCCATAGTTTTCTGGACCTCTGATCTGGACTTAAGAGAGCGATGGAGACTATGTTACTAAGAAACGATGAAACTTAAAAGTGTTAGTTGGAGCATTTGCGATCTTGCTTCCCAGCATATATCATCAGTTTGGCTCAAATAAAAGCATATGTCATCAGTTTGGCTCAAATAAAGTCTTATAAAAAAAAAGGATTGCTTGTCTCTGAACTTAAGCAGAGGTGGCAGCCATGTTCGGGCAGGCAGGAAGGTGAGGTATTTCAGGGGGAGGTGATGAGTAGAGGCAGGATCACAGAGCAGAAAAAAAAGAAGAAATACTCTTCCAGTGTTGGAAAATTATTATCTGTTCCCATGAAGAAGTTGCTCATGTCACTGTCGAACTAGTGAAGTGGAGGCCTTCATCTTGTCCCTTGTGTCTTCCTTATTTTTCACTTGCCTTTCACTTGTTTAAGGAAAATGAAAATATCACCCAACGTCGCATCATGGAACTGCTTTCTTTGCTAGTTGCGGTCCTAGAGTGGCTGCAGATGCTGGAGGTCGGAGCAAATCAACAACAGCATTCTGTGAGATTCAGTTGGCCGTGTGGAATTCACAATAAGGAGTTTTGTGGATTCTTCCTGATCAATTGTGCTTCTTTGATTTCAGTAAGATTCATCTGTGCGTAGGTACATACATACATACACCTAGGCACACGGGTCCATTTTTCTGGTGAGCCCATTGTTATACATGACCAGCACACCATGGTCCGTATCCGTAAGGGACGGGTCTGGTCCAGCCTGCTGTGCTGGGTTGGTACACAGCCCCTCCCACTCCATTCCCACGCTCCCTGATGTACCTCTTACCACCTGCCACTTAAATACCTCCCGGAGCAGCTTCTGGCCCCAACATAGCTGCCACCTGTGCTTAAGTTCAAACAGTGACTCTGATTGATCAGCCCACATTCTTAACCATTTCAAAGCCCTCTGTCTCTTTGGTATTCTCTCTGGCTATTTCTCAACACAAACTCAGCTCCGGCCACACCCCAGTAACACAGGGAACACAACTTCTGTAGCTTTAGGAGAGCACACCTGAAGTCACAGATGGGGTCTGTCACCGGGTGGTCCCCAGGTCTCCTGTAAGGGCCGTCAGGATGCTGAGCAAGGAGGAAGGAGCAGAGTGTGGCCTGTGAGCGCCTCGTCCTGCCCTGCCTCTGCCCCTCCTTCCAGCCTGAATGGGAACCCTCGGCTCCAGCCCCGCCTCCTTCGCCACGACCTACACACAGTGCTTTCCTTTCCCAGAATTCCTTGGAGGAGCCCTGTAAATGGTAGCGTGATGAGAAACGATACATGTAATGTCAGGTTTGCCCTTTTAACACTTTAAAAGCCTTTTACTTGTTTTGCAATAATATGCTTGTAATGACATTTAAGGAGTGTATTGGGGAAAGGTGCCTCAGTCACTTAGTTCCAGGTTTGTTCATTCATTCATTCGTTCATTCATTCGTTCAGCAGGCCCTTGTTCTGCCCCTCCCTGATGATACGGTAATGAAATGACACTGCCCTCGTCCTCATGGAGCTCATAGCTGTGACGTGCTGTCCTAAGATCTCAGGGTGGTGTGAGTTCTAAAGTGATAACCCTTTATTATGACAAAACAGTTTGACACTAATATACATTAAGTTACCAGATAAATAGCTATGCTTAGAACAAGCATTTAAAAGGGACAGACTCCTGGGTGTAACTTGGTACCTTTCTCATAACGCTTTAACTTTTGTGGAGTTTTGCCCCTTCTGTGCCTTTGTGACTTCTAGGAGGACGTGCTACTTCCTGCCTCCCCGCTGTCAGGGGAGCGGGCACCGAGGGCACCAGGGACTCCCCTGTGACCCTGTCCACCCCTGTGGAGGCCAGTGAGGGGGGAGGGGCAGGTTGTTCGGAAAGTCTCCTGTACTGCCTCGTCCTTCCCAGGCAGAGGAGTTGGCTTTGTCCCTTTCCTCGCCGTCCCCAGCCTGCATCCCCACAGCCCTGCGGCATTTGGAGAACCTTATGGAAACACAGCATTTCTAGCCCCATTTTGGCAACAGACTAGCATGCAACTGTGATCTCATCATTGTTCTACAACTTCCAGAAAGAGCGGATGTTCCTTACGCAGAGCTCTCAAGATATAACTGATTTCTGAACTAAACATTTACTGATGACCTGCCTGGCCTCTGGGTGACTGACCTGGGCTACAGGCCCATGTGTCCTATTCCTCTGGGCAGCAACTGTGCAGGCCTCATGCATTCCTGGTGCCCGCACCACAGGTGCTGGTCAACCCTGGCACACCCTGTCCTGTGCACTGGACTTATGCTAATTTATTTTCACAACCACCTACTGTGATACTCTGCTGTAGGCCTTGTTATCATCCCCACTTTGTGGAGAAAAATACGATGTGTTGAGGCCAAATGGGGGCAGGCTGAGACTTGGTCCCAGTCTGTTGTGTCACAGTCTGAGCTTTTAGCCGCCCTGCTGTGACACCCGGTATCTTCTGTGTGTCCCCCTGGCTGATTTACAATGTTTGGTGAGGAGACTGGTGTAGGGACCAGAGGCAAGGCCACTGGGGGACACCCCACCGTGTTGCCATGGGGGTGGTATTTAAGCTCTAGAAAAGTGAGCCTGGCACTGCCCTGAGAAGGGGCCCCTGCCCTGGGCTTTATGCTGTAGAGGGCCCCCTTGCACCCTTGCTAGGGTCCATTCCTTTCCCTTAGAGCAAGGAGGCCCCAGGACCTAGGAGCGGTCTCCCCAAAGCGCACAGTCCCCGTTCTATTGTAGATCCCGCTGCAGGTCCACGGGACCCTGAACCTCCTTGCCCAGGCAACCCCAAGCCACCAGTGTGTGCTCCCCGAGACCTAGGCTGGCCAGGGAGGCTGTCTGTTTGGCACTGGGGTGCGCTTGGTAGGGCTTGGGCAAAGTGGGGCTGGATTGGGGGTTTGAGGGCTCCTGTCCTTCTTTTCTCCAGAGACACTTTAGAGCACGTGGTTCTCCGTGTCTGAAGAGCATCCCAGCCATTTCGCCCTTGCTGACTGTGCCGAGGGCCGGGGCCTGACCTCGGTGCTTGTTTGCTCCTTATTCCTCAGCTGGGGGGTCCCGCTGGTCATCACCGTGGCAGCTGTCAGTCTAAAGAAGATTGGCTACGACGCCTCGGACGTGTCTGTGGGCTGGTGCTGGATTGACCTGGAGGCGGAGGACCGCGTGCTGTGGATGCTGCTGACGGGGAAGCTATGGGAGATGCTGGCCTATGTCACGCTGCCCGTGCTCTACCTCCTCATCCGGAAGCACATAAACAGGGCGGTAGGTGACCCCACTGGCTCTCCGAGGCCCCCGGCCCAGAGCTATGTGGCTACTGCCCAGTGTGGGCTTGCCCCTGGGTCCTGGCCTTGGGGTCGGCCACCTTAGGGGACAGAGCTAGAGTGATGGAGGGTTTGCTAATGACACAGCCCTGTCAGGAGCGGGTCCTGTGACTCCTCACTTGTGGATGAGGAAACGGGGGCTTACAGAGGTTAAGGGGCTCCCTAAACTGGCCCAGCAACTGTGGAAGGAACGCCCAGCCTGTGTGCTGGGCCACACCCCTCTACTGCCCCCTCCTGGAGAGACCACCGAGGTCGCCCAACCTTGAGGGGAAATTGGATGAAAGGTGAGCAGTAAGGAAGAATTGAACTGGGAGGGGGGCCCTGGCATCTCATCAGTGATACAAATGACTCAGCTCATTACCCTTGATGAGTAGAATTAGATGGTAAAATGGTAGGCTTTTCTTTTTTTTTTAGCTGAGCCATCCTGCTACCTGTTGGTAGCTCAGCGGCTGCTCAGCTCGGGCTGGACTCAAACCGCTGTTGCTCAGAGCTCAAACTCTTGAGCGAGCTCTTAACCAACTGAGCCACTCGGGCGGCCCTAAATGGTAGGCTTTTCANATCAAAATTGAAAACATGTATATGCAAATGTCCTTACAGCTTCTTCAAGGGTTAGCGTCCCTTCCGGTTTTCTGTCCTAATGACTTTCAGGCAAATGTTTGATGGTTGTATCAATGAGAATTAGGTTCAGCTGCAAGTGACAGAAAACAAAAGGGAGGACTACTTCTTTAATGTTAAGTCCAGGCGTGTGGCCAGGTGCTGGAATAAGCACTCCTTTGGTAAGGGACTCAAGCTCCTTCCATCTTGTTGCTCTGTCCCACGTGGCCTCAACGTCATGGTACAAGCTGGATGGAGAAAGGGACAAAGAAGAGAGCAAGGTTCCTGGCAGCCGCCACATGACACCTTTGTATACGTTGCATTAGGCAGAACTGTGTTGTTTGTCCGTGCCAGCTACAAGGGCAATGGGGAAACATAGTCTTCATTCTGGGCAGCCATAGGTCCTGCCCAGGTTCTATTACTATTGAAGAGGAACTGAACAAATGGATTTGGGGTCGGGCTGGAGGAGCCACAGCAGCCTACAGCAGGCCCAGGTCAAAACTTTAAAATTCCAGAACATTCCTAGTAGAGGTGAGACGAGCAGTGACCTGAAGTTCTGGTGTCACTGTCTGGTCTCAGAATAGCCGAGGGGTTTGCCAGCCTGCTTTGTGGTGCTAATTCTACATTTTATGACCTGGTTAAATTTTCCTATATGAACTTTTTTCTTTCATTCTAAAAGGCTTCATGTTCGAAAAGATCGCTTTTATTTTTTGTTTTATTCATAATAGAGATTCTCTTATTTCCTCCCTCCCCTCATCCTGTCAATCACCAAATTTCACCAATGTTACATCCTAAATATCTCTCAAATGTATTTACTTCTCTAATCTCTTCCGCTAGATTGGTCCAATTGACCATCATCTTTTACCAGCTCTACAGCAAAGAGCTACTGATCCCTTACCCACAATCCACTGGTCTCTTGTCCCCTCAAGGCATTTAGAGTGAACTTTTAAAAACACAAATCTGATCACTCTCCAAAACTCTTCATGCCTTCTCTCTGCTCCTAGAACAAAAATCAAGCTCCTCAACATGGCCTACAAGTGCTAAATATAGTCCAGCCCTGAGCGCCTCACCAGCTTCCTTCTCCCTCCACTCTTCCTCTATTCTGTGCCCTTAAGCCACACTGACCTTGCAATTTCTTGATGGCATCATACTCTCTTCCACCACAGGGCCTTGGCACGTGCTGCTCCCTGTCTGGGAGGCTCTCTCCACCACCCCGTCATCACCTGCCTTTGACTGGGTAAGCGCTTTTCATTTTTCCTTCCCATCTCAGCTCCAGCGCACTTCTTTAGGGAAGACTTCCCTGACCAGCCTCCCAACCCCCATCTTTAGAGCCCTTTTATCAAATTCATCAATGTGTTGGATTAAATTTTGTTTCCTCATCCAGAGTCTAAGCTGCATGAGGACCAAGGATATTTTTATTTTTGTATCCTTTTGTATCCCCCTTCAATTAGAGTGGTAGGCTCAGTAAACATCAATGGAAACATGTGCTAGGAATAAAATCATTTGTAATCTCACACGTTTGGATCAGTTATAACGTCCACCCGCAGGTCTCGGCCAAGCCTAATGGCGTCCCCCGACAAGGGGCTGAAGGTCGCTCCGCCCACCGCAGGGTCAAGGGTCCTGGGCCAGAAGGAGGGCGCGGGTAGGGGCTGAGGAGGACCAGGACGCGGACAGCTCCTGAGCAGGTTGGTGGCCCACGTCTCGGCGGCCGATGAGGGCTTCCCCTGGCCGGGCGGGTATCGCAGCAGCCTCCTCGCCACCCCCTCTCCTCGCGCTGCTCTCCCGCCGCTGCTGAGGCGTTGGTGACGGCAAGGCTCTCCCTGCAATGCCCTGGGACAGACAGGAGCCAGGTACTGCAGCTCCAACCGCTCCAGGTAGTCACCATCCCCTACCCCTCACTCTAATTGGGGGAATTGAGGCAGGGGTGGGGTGTGCTGCTCCTGCCATCACCTCCCGGTTTTCAGTTCCCCTCTGGCCCGAAGTCACGCAGGGGATGACGTGGAAGATCTGGGCCGCTTCATTAGAAAGCCGGTCTTCTAATTTCCTCTGGGTCTGACTTGGACACACTTTTGACATGTCTTTTTTGTTGGCACCACCTGTACCCTTCCCTTCCCTCCCCCGTAGCTGATTTTTCCCTCCCAACGAAACTGCATTTTCTTTGGAGAATGTTTCATAACTCTTTGAAATAATTGGAAACTTCTGGTCTTGACAAACATTAGTTGGCAATCATTACATTAGGGCTGTGACACAGAAGGAAAAAGACAGTTGGTGAAAGGGAATGGCGGGTCCTCCCTTGAGAATGGGGACGTAGCGACTTCCCCCTCCCCCCACACCCCCCCCACACACCCCAACACACACACACACGCATACACACACCAAGGGCTGTTACGCTGTCACCCTCCTCACAGTCTCCCACGCAGTGGAGCCTAGTCACAATTCCCAAGTTCGCTGCTGAGGCCTGGAAGAGTGCCTGACACACGTGGGCTCCCAGGTAACTATTTGTAGGTAAAGGAGGAGAGGAAATGGCTAAATTCACTGGATTTGTGCTTCAGCAAAGACAACAAAGGATATGTCCTGTAAATATGGCAGGCCATGTAGGACTTTGTCCTGGATTTTGGCCACCTGACTTAGCATGCCACATGGCACCTGAACACGTGCCCAGCACGGGGGTCTGGCAGTGGCCTGGCCATGCATGGAGGATGCAGACCAGCGGATGTGACTCACTCTCCCTGCCCTGTAGATAAAGGGATTTGAAATATTCACTGCTTTCCCAATAGTGAAATTACATAGAAAATAACATCTCTGGGCTACTCTGAGTCCCTTAAAAGGACAATAAAAAACTCCCCGAGACAGTGTTGCATGGTCACTTGGGCAAAAGCTGACTCTCCAGTAGAGAGACTTGGCTGTAGGCTTCCTGGCAGGACCACTTCCTAGAAGCCTCTAGTGACATTATCTCTTGCCCGCATTTTACCTGGTGTGGTGTAGGGTCAGTGGCAGCTGCTGCGGTCCATCTGTTTGTGACAGAAATAACCCTTCCAATCACTCACCACAAGCCTGACTAGTGGAGACTTTCGCAGTGAGGAAATAGCACAGACTGTCCCCATCGGGAAGGCGCTGTCCCTGCAGTCACAAGGGGGTGGGGGGCTGGGGGAGTTGCCAACTTGCTAAGCTAAACCCCAGACATTTAATTTATAAGAAGTGAAAGAATGGCAAACCTCTGGGTTCCTGAAAGGGTTATTCTGCCTTAGACTGGCTATAAAAATGCTATTGGCCGTTACTTGGCATGTCCAAAGTGCAGTCAGGGTGTCTTCTCTCTCCATCCAGTGCACTTGTTATTTTGGCTGAAAGGAAGTAAGCAGCACATGTGTCCAGAGCAAAGATGGATCAACAGGATGTAATCAAGAAGGAAGGGGTAAGCGTGCTGCCCCAGGAAGGGGTGTAGAGCAGCCCACTGGCAGGGCCTGTGCAGCATTGCTAGGGGGAGTTCTTGGGACCCCTGTGCGAAGGAGGGCTGTTTGGGGTGACTTGCTCCTCTGAGTTCACCCAGCAACTGGACTTCTACAGGGACCAGAGAGGAAAGATTTAGAGATATTTTGCTTTAGACATTCTTTGGGAATCCTTCTACTGGAACAACTTTGAAAAGTATCTGTAACCAAATTGAAGAGACTCAAGGTGTTAATTTGTCCTAACTTCCTTCATGGAAAGAACTTGGGATGAAGGGATTCCAAAACCAGCAGGGCAATCCTTAGACATTGCTTGTGAGATGTTTTTTGATTTGTTTCAGTTTGGGCTTCAGAGTATTTTAATTCACCTTTTCAGCAAGTAACATAGCTCAGCCAGTATGAAAACAAGTTGGACTCAGAAAAGAGGCTGTAAGGTTTGACTGTAAGGTTTGTTGTACTTTTCGAGTCCCTCGATTTAGGAAAATGCATAAAGACAGAAAGATAATATGAATTTATTAACACTTTTCAGAAATTTGTATTTTATTTTATTTATAATTACATTAATTTATAATTACAGGGGGAGAAGTACATATTTGTGCAAATTACTATTTATTCAGTCATGGATACGAGACCCTTGCCACAGGGTCATAGATTAAGAGCAGGTGTGGGAGGTAAAGGTACCTGGAGTTCATTCCTGGTGCACCCTATTCTAACTGTGGGAGCTTGGGCAAATTATTTACCTGTTCTATGCCTCTGTTTTTTTGTCTGTAAAATGGATATAATAATCATACCATCTGATAGCGCTGTTGGAACAATTAAATGAGCTAATGCATGTACATTACCTGGCACATAGTAAATTCTCCATAAATGTTCTTAATTTTTGATCATCCTTTAGAGCAGGGCACTATAGACATATAGGGTCCAATAATTCTTTGCTATGGTGGGGGGCTGGCCTGTGTGTTGTAGGATGTTTAGCAGCATTCCTGTTCTCCCCTAACTAGCTGCCAGTAGCACCCTTGCCCCAAGGAGAATTGCTGCTTTAGAGATTACTAAATTCCTTCACCTGAATTATATTGTTTGACTTGCACAACTAAAAGTATTAGAAAGTCAAGTGTTATCTCCTCTATTTTATAGAAAAGGGGCTGGGAGGTAATAAGAACTTAGGAGTTGGGGGGGTCCGGGGAGGCCCTGATCTGGTCTGTTTCCCCTCTCCAAAGAGAAATGCATCACCCAGGTGTGTCCCCAGGTGTGGCTGCAGAAGAACAAAAATGCACCCCCATGATGGCCTGAAGATGAGCAGTACATTTTGAAAGGCAATGTTTAAAATGATCAGTTGCAAAAGCTATGGGCTCATCACAGCTACCTGCCCGCTCAATTCTCCATGAAAGGGAGCCTTCAGTGCCCAGCACCATACAGGCTGCCCCTTCCGGNCAAAATATTTGTCTGTAGACATGCAAGTAAATTCTGTTTGAGGAGGATCAGTTGATGCCCCTCCCGCTCAGGAAACCAGTTTAGGTGCATTTGCAAACTCACGTCAATCTCCCTGACCTACAAATGGGTCTGCTCTTCAGATTTGCTTTTGAATCGGTTATAACATCTGCCCGGGTCTCTCAATAAGGAGTGAAATAAAATCTTTAACACATTTTTTTATTTGTACAAGAGTCATTATTTTCACCTGTTTTTTGAAAATTATCCTTTAACACTATTAACGTGAGGTCACAAAACAGTGAACTTGGAAAGAGATGTGTAGTAGCCTACCATTATAGAGTATTTCAGTATTTATTCCATCTTTTTTATAAAGGTGAAATTCACATAACATAAAATGAAACTTTTTAAAGTGTACAATCCAGTGACACTTAGTACATTCACAATGTTATGCAATCACCACCTCTATCTATTGTAGTTCCCCAACATTTTCATCACCCCTAAAGGAAAACCCATACCCATTAAGCAGTTACTCCCCCAGCCCAGGCAACCACCAGTCTGCTTTCTGTCTCTATGGATTTATCTATTCTGGATTTCTCATATAAATAAAATCATACAATAGTTCTTTATGCCTAGGTCCTTTCACTTAGGATGATGTTTTCGAGGCTCATGCATCATATATCAGTACTTCATTCCTTTTTATAGCTGCAGAATCTATTGCATGTGCAAGTATATTTCACAAGTTGTTTATCCATTCATCCACTGACTGACATTTGGGCTGTTTCCACCTTTTGGCTATTGTGAATAATGCTGGCATGTATATGCATATACACATACTTGCTTGAGTACCTGTTTTGATTCTTTGGGGTATGAATCTAGGAGTAGAATTGCTGGGTCATATGGTAATTCTGTGTTTAACTTTCTGAGGAATCAAGCTGTTTTCCACAGCAGCTGCACCATTTTACATTCTCACCAGCAAGGGACCAGGGTTCCAATCTCTCTACATCCTTGCCTAGAAAACATGGATGAACTTCAAGGACATTCTGCTCAGGGAAATAAGCCAGTCACAGAAAGACAAATACTGTGTGGTTCCACTTAGATGAAGTGCCTAGACTAGTCAAATTCATAGAAACCAAAAGTAGAATGGAGGTTNCCTGTGAGCCCCTCCTAGGGGGCAGGGTCTAGGGGGCTTGCATCCTGGAAGGGGAGGGCTGATAAACAAGGGAGAAGGATGTCTAGGAAGGAGGATGATAAGAGCTGAGAAAAACAGACAAAAATAAAGGGCTGGCTGGGGGGAGGGGAGCGCATGGGAAATACCTTTGCAGTTCAGTAGGGCTGTCAGGATGGGCCTTATCCAGGAGGCAACATTGGAGCAAAGACTGGAAGAGGGTGAGGGAGTGAGCCATGTAGATGGACGGGGAAGAGTGTTCTGGATGGAGGGAACAGCCTGTGCAAAGGCCCTTGTCACGTCCTGCGTGGCAAGGGCAAATGGGACACGAGAGGGGCGACGCAGCTTGAATAAAGAGACAGAGACAGAAGTAAGATTTGAGAGCAAGACCAAGGGACTCAGCCTAAGAGAGACTGAGGCCTTAATTGGGTCAGCGCATGGCTTTTATTGAGAGTCTTCAAAAGAAGCAAAACTGCAGAACGGTGAATCATTAACCATGTATACGTGGGTGCCTTAAGGCTTGTTCCCATTACCTGACCCCTTTGTACTCCAACAAATGCTATGCCTTCGTACATCACTGCACAGCCCCAGGACATTCTGTTACATGTCCTCCCAGGGGAGACAACTGATATCATTCCATCAGGTCTCAGTTTTCCAAGACGCCCCCCAGAGAGCTTTACAGATATCATTCCATCCGGCCTCAGTTTTCCGAGACACTCTCTCGACTACAGGGTATGAGGCTAATGCAGAGGGGGTGGTCGTGGGATCGGCTGTAAGGCAACAGGCCCTGACTTGGGCTGTGCCTGCCATATTTGGGGAATAAAGGAGGCCAATGTGGCTGAAAGCAGCAGGGGTGGGGGGTAGGGGGGAAGCAGAGGTTAGAACTAGCCCAGAGTTGGGGACATTATAGAGAATGTATGAAGCGGAGAGCCACCAAGAGCTTTGCTATGACAGGTTTTCCAAGGACCATGATGCTTCTGTGCTGAGGGGGGGAGGTATGGCTAGTAAGGATGGCAGAGGGAGAACAGTTACAAGGCATTGCAGCTGTCCAGAGAAGCTGTGGTGGTGCTCGGACAATGCTGGTGGCAGTGGCGGAGGACAGAACATCCAGATTCTGGGTCTCTTGAAGGTAAAGCCCACAGGACTTGCCTATGGATGGGCTGTAGCAAAAAGAGAGGAATCAAAGACAACTCCCAAATTTGGGTCTGGGCGACCGGAAGGATGGCGTTCCCATTAGCTAAGATGGGGAAGCACATAGAGGGCTTGGGGGTCGAGATGAGGCGTCCACTTTCAGCCGTGTTTTGGACATCCCTGTGGAGGTGTGGAACAGGCCGCGGATCGAGGGGACGGGAGTTCAGGAGAAGGTTCTGGGCTGCAGATGGGACCCATCACATGGAAGGCACAGCATGCCTCACTGCCTCCTCCTCCAGCGAGCCTGAGCCCCTGGGAAGAAGGGCAGGGCGGGGCGGGGGGCGGGCAGCCCGTCCGCTCACCTCTGCTCTCCCTGTACCCGCACAGCACGAGGCGCTCTCTGAGTACCGGCCCATCCTCTCCGAGACGCACCGGCTTCAGCACCACAGCTCCATGGCTGACAAGAAACTGGTCCTCATCCCGCTCATCTTCATTTGCCTCCGGGTCTGGAGCACCGTGCGATTCGTCCTGACGCTCTGTGGCTCCCCCGCGGTGCGGACGCCAGTGCTGGTCGTTCTGCACGTGCGTAGCTCTGCCCTCCCAGATCCTTGCTGCTCCTGGCGAAGGGTCAGCTCGCTTCCCCCAGCAGAGTGGCACGTCCCAGTGCATCAGCCAACGCGGGGATGGCAGGGGGCTCGGCTCCACTGTGCCTTCCTTCCTGCCCAAGACAGGGAGCCTGTGAGAGAAGGTGGAGGGGCAGTGTGGCTGACCGGGGACGTTGAGGTGCTGTCCAGCAGCCCAGGAGTAGCCCCAGGAAAGCTGACTGGTCTGCAACTTCAGACCTACCAGAGCTCTGCCAGAGGCCCACGTGGCAGGGTCATTGCAGACTAGACCCAAGGGGTGGAGGACAAGGTTCTGGGGTCTGGGGTCTGCAGCACTTCCCAGCCTCCTTGCATGTGTATTTGAGACCCACTCCAGCCCTGACAATCACGCCTCTTGTCCCCTCCCTGACAGGGTATCGGGAACACATTTCAGGGAGGTGCCAACTGCATCATGTTCGTCCTCTGCACCCGTGTCGTCCGAACCCGGCTCTTCTCTCTCTGCTGCTGCTGCTGTCCCCAGCCTCCTGCTGAGAGTCCCGCTGACCCTCCCAAGGCTTCTGCGCCTGCTAAGGCGGGAGACTCTCAGGGACCCAGATGGACCCCTGAGGAACTTCCAAGCACCTGAGCTCTTCCCTGCCTAGTT